GTAATCGCCCATATATCACACCTTCACACTGTGTTCTCTTCACCCCTGGTCCGCCGGGGTTGAGCAGTGGTTATGGTGCTCGGCTGCTGATCCGAAGGTTTCGGGTTCGATCCCGGCTGTGGTGGTGACATTTCGATGGAGGCGAAATAGTAGAGTCTATGTTAAAGAGTGTTTAACAGCGCAAGCGACAGGAGGGGATAGAAGAGACGAGATAGGGCGCTGAAATGCGAACAGTTTATTTCTTGCGAAAGTATTCGCCTTTATACAGGCACCAGTTGCACCAGTCATGCGCGAAGCACAATGATAATGCAAGAGTACATCACACCGACAAGCAAAGGAACAACTTTTCTTTATTGGTGAGCGCGACAGAATCGGTGCTAACACAAGCATCTTTTTAATCAACATATCGTTTCTTCCTCTATAATCTCGCGTGTGGTGCGATCCTTGCATGTTGAAACAATAGTATACACTCTGAAAATATTGGCCTGCAGCCACACGTGCTGCAGTGAACGGACAGCCATCCTTGTTTATAATGATCCACATTGTACATGTGTTCTTGCTCTCTGAAACAGCAGGAGGAGGAAGTGCTTGGCTTCACTGTTTAGCGACATTCGAACGTCGGCAATGTTGCATCTTCTGACTCTTCAGGCCATCTGAATCTTCAGTCCATCTTTAAAAACAGAAGTGATTCACCCGACGTCAGTATACTCGAGTACCCATTCGTTGTCTCCTGAAGGAGCATTCATGATGTAAACGCCCTAACTCCTGGGCATGTCTAAAAGAGAAGCTCGCTTCATTCATCGCTTCGCTCTCGCGCCCCGCAAGTTTGACATGTTGGTATATACCCCTCTCCCTCTGATTGATGCGGAGTTCTTGCGCGTCTTCTCTTTTCGGCTGTTTCGCTATATTTCCTTCCTATCAAGCTGCAAAACACGCGGTTCCATTCTTGACACTCCTGGCGGGAAGTGGCCCCGGCGAACACATTTCGGCGCCCAAGTCAAGCTTGTTTTATGGGTGCACGTGCAAGGAAGCATAACTACGCGTTCGATGCACTCTCGAGTACGTGTGTAGGAGAGGCGAGTGCAGCTAAGTGATTCCGTTTCTTTTTCTTTCCCGCTTGTACAACCTTATTTTTGTGACCCTCACGACCTCCGGCCTGTGAGACGGCGTCAGTCAGGGAAAAACGGTCTGTCCGTCCACACGTTTGCAGTCTGCGAAAGCTGTTTGTCGTTCGCAGTTGGCGCTATATTCGGTCTTGAGCGTGCCCCGCGGAGACGGGCGTGCTTGGCCAATGGGCGTTCCTTTAAAAGGCACGGCGAGCGGAAACGGCTGTCAAACGTCAGACGGACACTCTTTCTCGGTTCTTGAGAAAGTCTGGTGGCATTAAGCGCGGGTAAACTAACACATCGGTAATGGAGCATAGACATGGAGTTCTCTGATCGCAGAGGTCGGCAATGTCCGGTTGTAAAATAAACACGACGCATGAACAGCGTGATTGCTTGGCCAACAATGCTTCAACTGTCGGTTCTCGAGACGTGTATACGGGTACCAAATATAGCGCCTTTTTCTATGTTGACTCTCTTTCTCCACTCATGCAACGTGCAGCAAGTTCACCAAAAGTCTGCAATTCTACTTGTCCTCGCTCCACATCTTGGAATCGTCTTGAGCCGGTGAATGAATAACATGACGCTGTCTCGCACCCGCTTATGGTAACGCCGACTTTCGGCCCTTCTCGCTTTTCGCAAGCTGTTTCACCTTATCGACTGAGCCATCTAGAACGAAAACCGACGCGGTTTACGCAGGGAAGGACACAAAAGTAAGAATAAGTTATCATCGTATTCATTTACATTTGCGCGGCTCCTCAAGGAAACTCTGCGTGCGCCTCCTTTCTGCACGAAGCCTTGAGATAGTATCCACAAAAGAGGAAACGTTGGCATAGAACATCAATCGGCCCAGCCCAGTGGTGTAACTTCCTTTTTGTAGTTCTGTTTTTTTTTCTCGCAAATGTTCACTCGCAAATGTTTCCAACCAGAAGCGCGTGGTGGCACGAAAGAGAGTGAGTATAGTTGACGACGTCCAAATTTCCCGTATAGAAACGCTATAGGACAAACGTGGCGACGGCAACAGATGGGAAGCTATCGACCCCCTGAACCGTCGTTTTCTTGTATCTTTTCCTTTCTTCTCTCATTACTCTTTCACAGTGACCGCTTACTGTTGAAGTCAGTGGCGCTGATAAATGGGCGCAATATCCCATCTTCACTGTTGCCTCTAAGAGAGACTTTCCCTGCTGGCATCGGAATCGATTGAAAACGGTGGCCCTTCCTTCTGTATATACGTGCGCCAACACACGAGTCGTGTGTGAAAGGCAAGTGGTGCGTGGCATTAACAAAATAAAAAAAAGAAGAGGGCGCTGAGTATAGTTGCGTGCCGCTTGCGTATACGTTTGTGTAATTTGTACGTGTGTGCATCGGTACGCAAGGTCGCAGATGTTCGACGCAATGTGGCGCGAGCTCTGGGCGACGGTCCGTGAGAGAACGTCTATGACGGGCGGGTCGTATCGAGTTGAGTTTTCCGAGGCCCGTTTGTTCCGTTTGTCGCCGATCAACAACGAACGAGTCATCATCGCCAACGAACACCCTCGCTTTCGACGATTAGAGCAATGGCTTTTCCTCAGTGAAAGAAAAGAAAAAGTTCTCACCCAGACAGGAGAAGAAATGTACATGGAGTCGAGAACACGGAGGAGGAAAAGGCAACATTGCTAGATTCGTTCTCTCTGTCTCGGGGGTTTGCGTGTGACATTGTTCAGCCTTCGCTACGACGCCAGCTTGCGCAACTGACATATTCGCTACATGACATGTCCAGTGCCGTTGTTGTATTGTATTGATGCAGCACGTGGAAGGCTTGCCTAATTTCTCTGATTATGTGCATTTGCAGTGGCCATTGAAGCTTAGTGCACTTAGTTCGCATTGTTAAATACTGATTCAATCCGTTATCTTGACTCTTGACACATTCAGCTAAAACGGACTCATGTTAGACGACGGGACCAACGCTGGCGTGGTCGTGTCTCATATTTCCGTTTTATTTAACGCTAAAATCAAGACTTATACGTTTCAGCTGCTCGTCCAACAAGTTCTTAATGAGCTAAAGGTTCTGCGGTTCCAATTGCGAAATGTTACGATCGCCTTGGTGCATTGAGCTGGATGTGATTTTTAAGCAAGGCGGGGCCAAATTAAGAGTATATTGTTCAAATACACGCGCATAGCCTCTTTAGTGTGACCTTCTTTCATATTCCTTCAAGACGTCCGACCTTCAAGTCGCATGTTCTGTTGCCAGCCGCACGCAACTTACGGTCTAGCTAGCTTCTCCGCTGACCCGAATTCTTCACCGCCCAGACCACCGCAAACACACGGGAGAGTGACACAAATGTATACATATCTTCCGTTTGACAGTAAGCCGACCGCCGAGGCATCCCTCGTCATCTGCCACCGCTTTTTATCTTCAACCTATACGCGGCACATCCATTAAGGCCAGCAAACGTAAGCTTCAGCTATAAGCCTCGGAGCTTCGACTTCGTCACGTATTACACACAAACGCACTCCGAGCCGCAGAGTGCTGCTTCAAGCTCACGTGCTCTGCATGTCACGTCGGTGTCGGACGGCGATGCTCTCTTACAGGCGAGACCACGTTGAGGACCTTTGTGTGGCACTTATTTTTTTTCCCCGCCGCCACCGCATTCTTCGGACATCACAGTTTCCGCTTTTTTTTTTTTCTCTCTCTCTTTAGTCTGAGATACTAATCTCTCTGCTAGCGTCCATACGTGGGGTGCTGAGGTAATTACGTTGAACGCGACTCCTCCCCGCTCGTTGAAAAGTGCTTCGCTCTCATCTCTTTTTTTTTTCTCCTTTCTCTCTTGTCGTTTTTCGTTTTCTTCTCGCTCATTGGCTGCCGTCGTCCTATTGACAGCGGGGAAGATAAATCCCGGGGATTACTGTCTTGCCGAGCCGCCAGCTTTGATTACATCGTTTACTCTGCGGCTTAGCCCACGCGGCCAGCGTCAATCTGCGTTCCCGTCATTGTTCTCCGTGCAGGGAACGTCTTTTGATCTCGGTATTTAAATACAAATGCTCTACTTCTTGTATTCCTTTCTGTTTTTTTTTTGTTTGCGAACGTTGACGCAGATGCTCTGACGTCGCTGACTTTGATTTATAGTAGCTTAACGCAGTGATTACTGGTTATCCTCGAGGGCGATCCTTAATGGAACGCCTGCCGTGAGGATGTCGCTTTGCATGCAAATTTCTACCACCGTCAGTTCCGCTTTTCCGCATCGTTACAGTAACGGGACAAGGTGCATAAAATAATGAAATTTATTTACCAAGCACGCGATAGAGCTTCAGGGGCTGGCTGCTTATGTCGCCGGTGTATCCATATATCTCCCGCGTCGTATAATTATGCGCATAATTTAGCGGTCTAGCGTGCCGTTTGATTTAGCGCTTAAGGTACACCCTTATCGGGCTTCACCCGTTACATAATATTTATTACGGCGAATGTTATTCCAGTGTAGGGGGTTATGTGGTGGCTAAGGAGGGACGAGTCGCTGGTGGCAATTTAATAACGGCGATCCTGAAAGGGTGAAGAAGTACGTGGAACATGGCGTTCTAATATCTGGAGTTTGAAATACTCGGAAGGGGCCGACAACTGGGCAAGTTAGTGTGAATTCGTACTACTGAAACGGCGCTACCAGTAAGACGAATGCACAGAAAGAAAAGAGAGCACAGCGCTTGCGTTTCGTGTTTCCTTTTCAACGCGCGCATTCGTCTTATGTTGCGGTGCCGTTTCAGTAGTATGAATCTGGAAAAAACTCGCTGGGAATCCTCTTACATCAATTGAGTACGTCTCGTTGTTTCCTTGTGCGCGTTGTTAAAAGCACAGAATGGTAGCAAAGAAGGAAACGTACGTTTGCGTAAATGTTAAAGAACAGTTTTTTTTTTTCTTTTTCGCAGGAGAACCATTCCTGAGATGGTGGTACCGAACGTCCACACACGACCAAGGATGACACGAGTGGAGACGGGTCCACGCCACCTTTCGCGAGAAGCTCGCAGCTCATCCCTGCGGCACTGAAACACTGAACTGTCTGTCCACGTTCACCTTCGCAGAAGTGGGTGTGGTATACGTTGCGCAGTATTCGTATACAATCGAATCAAATCTACGCGTTCGACGATGACTCTCATCAGCAGTGACAGGCAGCGGTTCGCCCGCGATGACAGCGTCTCCAGTATTGGCACCATGACCAACTCTCAGAGCAACGAGCCCCTGGTGGTCGGCAAGGCTCCCGTCGTCCCAGATGCACTCGGTGTCCGCGACACCGCCGTGCGACCACACTCGACCGACGCCGATGTCTCCGGCGACGCGGGAGGAACCTGCGGCTGGGGCTGCCTGCGACCCCGCTGGCTTCAGCGGTTCCGCACGCCTCCGTGGGTGCTCTTCTTCCTGTGCTGGGCGGGATTCCTCCAGGGACTCATAGTGAACGGCTTCGTCAACGTCGTCATCACGACCATCGAGCGGCGCTTCCAGTTGCGCAGTTCCGAGAGTGGTCTGGTGGCCAGCGGTTACGACATCGCGTCATTCGTTCTTTTGGCGCCCATCAGCTACTTCGGGGGCACTCGCAGCAAGCCGCTCTTCGTCGGCGTGGGCTGTCTCGTGCTCGGCCTCGGCGCGCTTGTCTTCTCCATGCCGCACTTTCTAGCCGGCACGTATGCCTTCAGCACCGAGGACGACAGCGAGAGCCTCTGCGTGGCTGTGGCCAACGCCACGCGGGGTTTCTGCGCTCACAGGGAAGCGCTGGGCGGCAGTGGTGGTGGCTCCCTGAACCAGTACAAGTACATGTTCCTCGCCGGTCAGATGTTGCACGGTGCTGGCGCGACGCCCTTCTTCACACTCGGCTGCACGTACTTGGACGAGATTGTGTCCACCAAGATGTCATCCGTGTATATCGGTGCGTGGTTCTGCATTCTGCTGCGCGACCCGCTACAAAGCCCCAGTACTTTTAATGATTGGACAGAAAAACAGTTCGTAGTTGGCAAGTCTAAGTCATCTACTGTGCATTTTTTTCTTTTCACTGCAGGTATCTTCTACACTATGGCTATCATCGGTCCCGCACTGGGCTACATCTTAGGAGGCCAATTTCTTAAGATCTACACTGACCTCTCCGTGGACGCTTCAGTGTAAGTCGCTGCGATGATTATGCAGCACTGCACATTACTGTGGGTAGTTGTGCGTGAACAAGAGTGTGCGCGGGGGTTGGGCATGGTAATGGTGGATAGGTGCGACTTTTTCGCGCTCAACAAATAAGCTCCCCGTGTAACTGTAGCGATACATGTTGCATCGCTATGTAGTGTATTACATGGACACACCATTTGTAACACTTAAAAAACCAAAAGACTTTAGTGTCAGTCATTACAAACCATTAGGTAAACTAATTAGAAGTCATTAAGAACTTGGCTGGAGCCCACGTTACTTCGCTCACAAAAATGAATTAATGAAGTGCGTACACACACGTGGGTGCACATGGGCTGACATCCTCATATGCACATGCACACTTGGGATCTGAATAGTTGGAGCGATGTTGAGGTCGCAGAATGAGTGCGAGGTAGAAAGCAGTCCAGTCTTATTAACGTCTGCTGTGAAATGGCGCAGTGTAGAGGTAACAGTCACCTTTCTCGCCCAACAGTCTCGGCTTGACGCCCTCCAGCGGTGTTTGGGTGGGAGCCTGGTGGATCGGATTCGTCGTGTCCTCCGTGACGGCATTCTTGGCCGCGATCCCCATCAGTGCCTTTCCGAAGGTCCTGCCAGGTACGTCTTACGCACATGCTCTGCTGACCATCTTCAAACACACCATGTCTCGCGTTCAGGGTATTGCCGACTCGGCAACAGGCCCCGCCGAATCGTGCTAAGGCCATTAAACAGGCTGTGTAAATCAAACTTACACTCCCACTGGGAATTACTATAGTTTGTCTTAGAACGAGTACAGTTATGCCGGGGAAAGGTCTCTGTGTGTCCAGCTGAGACATTAAAAAAGATACACTAAAGTGCGTATGAAACAAACACTCCTAGCCGCTGAGTACAGATATGTCCACTCAGTACGGCAGAAAGTAAACAAAAATATTTTGGCGTGTTCATTATCAACGAACCTCTCGCACTTAGTAGAACGTTCTTGGTGTAACCATATGCACTGCGTCCTTTCGCGCGCTCAGGTTCGCTGAAGCTGCAGGCCCAGAAGAAGTCTGAAATGCACCAGAAACTGCAAAAGAGCGAAGCTGTGCAAAGTGGCTTCGGTGCTCGGGCCAAGGACCTCCCGGCCTCTTTCAAGATACTCATCACCAACCCGACGTTTGTGTTCCTAAGCCTGGCTGGAGCCACAGAAGGTGCGTCACGAGCTCACGAAGTGCCTCTGCCTGTCTCACGAGGGCGCTACTAGTTCGCCGCTGTTTTGCCCGTGCATTGCATGTGACTCTCAGTGCTGAGCAGTTCTTTTGTTTATCATAATTGCTTGTCTTTGTTTGCACGCGAGTGTTGCCTGAAAATCTGGGAATACATTTCGTCAATTTTCGGCAAAGGTGCTGAACTGTGTTCGCCTTTTAAGTTTCTGGAAATTTGAGTTCATGGGCCTGCATATATTTGTTCCTAAAATTTTCGTCAGTCTGTAACATGTTGTTTTTAAAGACCGAAATGCAGATGTTCTCAAGTAACCACACAATAAATATATTTTCGTCGTTTCTTCAGTTTCTATCCCAAACAGGCATACTTCTACCAAATATTCACCTTTAAACCATAAAGGTGCACCTTAGTGTACTCCCAACAGCAAGAACTTTGTTAGCCTTCTCAAATATTGCGCTCTTACTCGAAGGGTAATTCGGCCGTATTCTCGTGGTGCTTTTTACATATTGATAGTGAATGTCGCAATTCATCGGTTTACGTTCATTCTTCCATTGAACTCCTTTCAGGCATGCTGGTGTCTGGCTTGGCGACATTCCTTCCGAAAGTGATCGAGTTTCAGTTCAGCATCGCAGCCAGCCTAGCAGCTCTAATAATGGGTGAGTAATATAATATGCAACGTGACTATATCAGCCTCCGCGCCAAATTTATTCGAGCTATTTGTTATGTATGAAAATCTTACGCGCTGTTATTTATCAGTTCACGCGGATTGACAACACATTTTCTTGCACTATACCGATGCACATTATGGCTATCAACTGCGCGTGATTACTTCGAAGCGGACACATGGTATTCGCCAGCCTTCGAAAGTTCTCTAGCGGCCTAACATAAGCTTCTTTTCAAAGCTCCTTTATTATCTTCCTCGAGTCACACCGAGTTCGGCTTGTCTCTCACTTATTTCACTTTGTCTGTGTTGTTCTTCTCATACATAACTTTACGCATACCTTCACAGTACATTCATTCGCTCCTCTTGCATTGACACTCATATACTCCTCACAACTTAATGCTAAAAATAATCAGCTTTCAGTACTTAGCTCGTCGTTGTGGGCTGATTGCTATTCGGGGGTTTGAATTGAGTATGAAGGCAGAGCAACTGTGAAAGTTAGCTTCTCCGCACACATATTCTTAATGTGAAAAAGCCAGCTTTCAGGAGCACCTTTGAGCAAATTGAGTTCGCACCGACATGGCGTGTCGATGTACACAGTAGCGCTTGTTACGGGAAAAGTGAGAACGCGTTTACTTCATAATTCGCTGCGTCACTATCACGGTGTCACTGTGGACACGGCAGCGTTGAAAATTGGATCCATCTGATGCTCACACTCTGAAAAACGACGCGGTAAACATTTGTGCGGACTCCTCCGCGCTTCACTTTGCCAGCAGAACGTGTAAATATTTCCAGTTTTTCATTTATTCTGTTACAAGAACCATTGCTTCCTTTTTTTTATTGGTCGCTATTATTGTCCTTGCTTCAAATACAGCAAACACGCGTGAACGTGCTATATCGGTAGGCTTATGCATAGTTCCGCGGTGCCCGTTTGTCGAAGCTCTCGCAAAGTTTGCGTTCGCAACTGAACTTAGTTTCACCATGAAGTGCCAATGGCGCGTATTGCCAGACCAATCTTATTGCGCTCTCCTCGATGAAGCTGCGAACATTGTTCTCGCTTTATGGGAACATTAGCTTTGAAACAAGGGCCGTCTGTACCCACCGCCCCCTTTAGCGGTCGTGTGTGCAGCTGTACACATCAACTGCGGAGGCGCGTCACGCACCGCGTGTTCCTTCAACTGGCTTGAAACGCAGTGTGCACATTTGTAATGGCTTAGTAAATGGGTGGGCAAACAGCGCTCATTTAGCTTCATTGTGCTGTGTATTGGTGCACAGGATCAGTTTGCGGGAAACACAACCACGTTCGACGGTCGCTCGACCTACCTTTTTACAGAACCAAGAATGACAAAAGTATTTTTGTTTGCCCGAAACAGACACTGTCAAAAAACAAAACTGGGCCTGCATTTCTAGCGTAATATTAGATTTTGTATTCAATGATCAAAGCAGACTGACCGCAGTATAATTGAATAAATAATTACCGCTAATTAACATTAATTCCTGAAAGATATGCAAAACAATGCATTGCTTAATTTTGTTATTTGGGGTATAATATGGACTGCCCTGGAGCTAGGTTGCGTGAATTTGACACATTTTTTTAGAGAGTCTGCCGTGATTCGCGCCCGAAGGGGATATAACGGGCATTTCACCTAACCTGAACCATATTTCATCAAAACCAGTTCATCTCGGATAGTTCAAGTTATGTCACCACATGCCTGTGCCTCTGATTTGCAAGACTGTGAGTTAAAATTTGTCAAGAGTTAGAATCTTTGATTTGAACATCTTTCTTTTTGACAGTCGTCATTCTCCGCATGCATACCTGGCCATGAGCGTTGACATGCACAAATGCGTTATCAGCTAGTTATTACATCTACTATCCTTCCACAGCCTCACTGTGGGAGTCGACCGCTTTCTCAGCGAGTGCAACAACCAGTGCCACTGCCAAATCGAAGACTTTGACCCCATTTGTGGAACAGACCATGTCATGTACTACTCAGCCTGCTTTGCTGGCTGCCAAAAAGTTCACCACTATGGATCAACAAAGGTGAGCAAATGTTCAGTACCCTGATTTGGAAGGGGAATAGCTTTCTCTCTGAACAAAACAAATTAAAGTAACATATAGCAAAGAATATGTTCTTTAGATGCATAGACTTGATTGTTCTAGTGATCTTAAGCTCTTCTGTTGCTGACTAAAACAGCAAGCAGATACAAATAAATGGTGTGATTATAGTTTTTTGGGGTTGTTTAATGGTGGTATAGTATTCTTTATCTTGACTTACGAAAGCTTCATTTCCCCTGTCAAGAATGCATCGCCAAGGGCAGGCAGACCAAATAGTTATGTGATGTTCTCCAAATCAGCACACTTTCTTGATGGTTGATTCAGTGACTTTTGTGGGTCCTTTTGTTGAAAATGGTTATTCTTGCACCACTCGAAAAACTTTCACCCTTCCAATGGGCTACCTTAAATGTACAAAGTAATGCCAGCCTTGCTTACACGTAAATTCACGTCATGATTATGTTCTTCTCATCTTTCGCCTACTGTACCATACCTGTTTCATTTATTGTGCTGCCCAAATGATTATGACATCCTGATGACACAAGTTTGTGGGATGGAATGCCCAGTTATGGGAGCCATGTATTAGTTGGCCAATAAACAAAAATGCATGTGTACTATGCTTTGGCTTTAATGTCATTGTAACTTACTCCTATGAGGAGTAGCAAGCCAGAGAAGCACTCTCAAAGCAGACCTGTCCTCTTTTCTTTTCATTTAACATTGTCGTCATCTTCTTCGACTGCACACAGGTCTATGAGGATTGCCGCTGCGTTGATCATCCAGGCCGGAACATCACACTAGAAGGCAAGCAGGTGACCATCCAGGCGGAGCGCGATAAGTGTCCCAGCGAGTGCAACTTCCTCGTGTTCTTCTTGATTGCAATGTTCGTCTGCATGGTCTTCACGTTCCTGGTCAGCATGCCATCACTCGCTGCGACACTCAGGCAAGTTTTGTACAAAAATCGTGGAAAGCTAGGGGTGGGGTGTGTGTGAATAACATGACCACACCGGTGGGGCATGGTATTGGTTTGGGATAGGCCGATGTTTACCATAATTGTTGGAAAATGCCCATCTGGTTGTTGTGCAGGTTTCACTGTCATTCAGTGCTGGGAGGCACAAGTGCCAAAGTAACCTCGTCACTTTTCTTGTTTACTCACTTCGTAGGAAAATTACAAGTTCAGTACTTTACAGTACCTGCTTTTGACTTCCAGGTAAATAAAACAAAGAGAAACAAGCTCATCTTTGCATTGAGTTTTGATAGTAAGGTCTTCAGTTTAAGCGAGGGGTTAGGAAAAGATTGGGGGAGGAGGGCGCTGCACTGAAATGTCCACTTCACCCAGCCCACCTAAAATAACCCGGCGCATGTCTATGACCATCAGTCACATCATCAACAATGGGTCAGCTACATAGGTACACGTATTGTTTCGCATACGCACAGTGGATACTTTGCTAGTTTGCATGATAGTTAATGATGGCATAGAGCGCACTTTGCAACTCTAGGTGCCTCTGCGCAGTTAACAAAGGGCCAATGTCACCCGCACACACATTCCTTCAGTCACGGCGTGGTAGAGGTGACCAGTGAGAAGTGAAGTATCGCAAGCAAATGAGAAAACGATGTGAATGAGGCCTTGTAAATGCCCAGTGCAAGTTTAAACACTTGCTCAACACCCAGCAGTCTTGATCTGGTGGTTGCATTCATACTTGTAAACATTGTCAGTCAAAAAGCAAATGTTACGCATATTTGAGGTGGAGCAATATCAACATGCCAGTATTAGGTAGTGTTTCTTTATTTTGAAAATGCATGAATTTGTAATTCTAAAGAGCACAGTGTTTATTATGCTGCGCTGACAATGCAACACTATGAACGACAAAAGCAGGTGTTTCGTACCCTTTGCTAAAACGACACGTTGCTGCCACCTACCTGTGGCTAACCATTCTACAAAAACTTTCGTTTCTTGAAATTACTGCCAGATTCGTCGATATCACACAGCTCCTCCAGACAGAAAGCTATAGTCGTTCGATGACCTTTGGAACAAAGCATGCAGATACGTGTTTTGGGAAAGAGCACAAAAAAACGAGAGGACACAGCAAGAAGACAACACGGTTGCTAACTTTTAACTGACATTTACTTTTTCAAAAAGAAAACATATATACACGGAAACAAATTGGTGATTTTAAAATGGTGATCAAACAGCTTTAGAGGTAGCTGAAGCTTTTATTGTACGAATGCTTAACACCTGCTTTTATTGTACGAATGTACTAGCCACACCTTATGCAATATCTCAAATGAGGTCTCTAAGGTAATGAAAAGAAATGAAATTAAATTCTAAAGCTGGTTTCTACTGGTTCACGTGCAGGTGTGTAGCAGCTAGCCAAAAGTCTTTCGGCCTCGGTATACAATGGATTGCAGTGAGGCTATTAGGTAAGTCTTCATCAGTTTTCAACGAATGCTTTCCTCTTGGCTATCTTCTCAAATATTCTTTATAATCTGGCATCCAGTAATTCATTCAAAGTACTCAGCTTGATGTTCACTATTTCCAGCGGAAACAGCGAGGAGTGGGCTGATATATCTATATTTAAATATGAATATGCTGTACAGTCATATGGTCATGCTGATTCTCATGAGCCACTTAAGGCTTTTGTAGGAATCTGCGAATATTCGAAAATCTCAAATAACTATTCAAATAGTATGCTATTCGATTTGGTACTCTGATTACATATTCAAAATGCCGAATAATTTTGTAATACTTTTCGTTTAACTGACTCCAAAACTCCAAAAGAATAACACATTGGAGCATGGAGATAGCACTTTTCTTGTTTTAGTTATTGGATTACCCATATACACGCAGTTCAGTCTTTAATGGGGCCACTGGGGCAGTACTAATAACGTATGAAAGTGCTTGTATTTAAAAGTGTAGTTACGTCTAAGTGATAACGTCCTCACTCTGTTATGCTCATCGTGGGGTTTATGGTGTTCATTCCTCAAAAATTTTTTAGTTTTTAGGCCTCAGTTTTATTCAAAATGTGGGGGCAAAGTACAACCTTGAATTTTTAAGTAACCTTTGTATTTCAACTTGCAATTACAAAGTATCTCATATGCTGTCACTGCTTATACGATCTTTTTTAAATTTACTTAATCATGGCATTTTTTATCAGCTGAAGTTAGTTGTAATGTTCATTTATTAATGTTGTGATTATTTGTTCCAAACAAAATAATGTTTGTTTTATTCTGGAACTGTTTTGAAAGGAGTTTCCATACTGTTCGAGCACTATTTGAATGATAATCAGATTGTGTTCATATTTGATACGTGATCATCACTATTTGATTTGTCCTAAAACTTTCTATCCGCAGACTCATAGGATCTTGCCTTAATGACCGTTTGTCTCCCTAAAACACAAGGTTTACATTGAACTTATAACCAAGGTATCAGGTCTCACCCCTTTTATGCCTAACTCTAAGACATTGTAATTCTGTGTGGCTCATAATTTCCCTTAATTTCTTTCATTGCACAGTGTTCCCATTAAATAAGCATACATATGTTTCACCCATTGTGGTTTCACCTGTTTCTTGCAGGAACCATTCCAGCACCAATTCTGTTCGGATTCCTCATTGACCAGAGCTGCGTGCTATGGCCTGGCTCGTGCGATGAGTCTGGTGCATGTGCTGTCTACGAAAATGGCCAGATGGCACGCAACCTTCTGGCACTCCTGGCCACCGTAAAGTTCCTCTCATGCCTATTCTTCTTCCTGTCGTGGCTCCTATACAAAGCACCTGAAGGCGGGGACGAGGAAGATGGTGACATTGATGCGACTGACAAAGAAGAGTCTGGCATTGCCACCATCAAGCAAAAAAGAGTGGTTACGGCACCGTACAAATCTGCTACAAATGGATCTGTAGCAACAGAGCAGCAGCAGCACCAGAAGCAGAATCATCACAATAGCGATAGCAGTACATGGTTTTGAACACTCCCAAGCCAAAAAGGCTGCAAGTAGAAATAGCCTGAATCTATGCAGGCTACTTTAATTCATCTTGATGATGTGCACTTGGAATTGCAGGTATGGGCTTTCGACACTGTGTGTCCGCAACTACCAAGTTTTGTAATTAGCACCAGCATGGGGAGAAAGCTTCAAGTGGCTGCTACAAGTATCATTTCTAGGCACAGTTCACGGAGCTTGCATCACAGATCTTGCATCATGTGCATAGCCAACGTACGATTTCCCTATGAAAGGGCTACTAGATGCAGGCCCATAAAATTTTAGCTGCACTAGAACAGTACTATCTGCCGCAAAGCCACACTGGCAAGCAACATCCATTTGTTACAATTAGTAACTGCTATGGATGCCTGAAAGACCTTCACAAATCTTGCCATGTACAAGCTGTGTATTTTGCAACCAAATCTTGCAACTGGCACCACAATATGACGTTATTCAAACAACCAATGCACCTTCCTGATCACCATCTGTTCATAAAACCACAAAGCCCATGTATCTATCACCTTCCTGCCAGCACACATACAGTAAACTGGTCGAAGAACTTTAAGAAAAGACAATGTTATGAATTGTACACTTCAGCATGATGTTTCATGCAGATGAAGTAGCTGCAGTGTATTGACTGCCTACAGAATTTCATCATCTGAAAACTTTCAAAAACTTCTTGGATGCCCGAGACTTCGTGCAATTTTTCGTCTGCAAGTGTCGCATAACTTCAGCAGCATCGACATGTGATTCTCAGAGTATGTTGTGCAAGTCTTCAAGCTAGTGATTTCGTGTGAGTGTGTGTGAGGAACTGAAGGTGTGCGCTGTACTAAGAATTGTGTAAACTGTGTGTTGCTGGATGTCTCGTTTAGAGTTGAGGTGTTGAAAAAAAGGGACCTCATTTGGTGGATTGGTAGACAATGCTGCTTTGGTGAAATGAGCATCAGAACTTTGGCAGGAATGCTACAAGCTATTGTTAGTGCCTGTTCCTGGAAGATTTTTTGTGGTCTTTGTATTATGATGCCCTTACAAATTGGTGGGGCGACATATCTGTATATGTGTAGTGTCCGTAAAGCATTTGCACTTACGTAGTGTGCACACAGCTCACATTAGGGCAAAACATGCAATGCAGCTCTCACGTATCCTTTTATTTCGGAAGTACGCAGTCTGAAACTGTTTTGAAATCACTATTATTTGTACTACAACAGAAAGCAAATCTACATTTGCTGCTGTAATCTTTGCTGACAGGACAGTGCCCTAAATTACTATTTTACAGATACTAGCAAACTTATAGTGCAAGAATACTGGCAACATTTAGTTCAATTGTTATTCATAGCCATTCAAACATGAAATATACATGGGGTCCACTCCAGCTTTTGAATACAAGAACACCTTCATATGTTGCATTCATGCCAGTTAAAAAAAAAGGAAGTTTCATAGGTTACTCCTAAGCTCATGCCATCTTCTACAGCCCAAGGGCAGCTTTAAAATGAGAAATGCTAATGTATGGTGTGGTCCTATACTAAAGCAAATATTATATTTTTATTTCTAAAACAGGGAATAATTTATTTAACCCCGTCACAAGCATATCAGGCCAAGCACTTGTAAAGTTATATATTGCAAAACCTTGTTGTTTGCATTCCATAGTCTTATATAAACTATTGGTTAATTGAGAGTTTGGAGCATAATGGTCTAGTGTTCGTTTGTTACTTCTGTGATAGTGAATCAGGTGACATTTATTTCACACAGAATGATAGAAGCCGAAGCTAGCGTGATTGTCAGCAAACCTGATGTAGTTATATTAACACTGCCACTTTTCCGGTCAGTTTTTTAATGCTCGTATGTTTATTTCTATTCTGGTAATTGAAGTACAGCAGTTTTCATATTAATGTTTGGTTTTGTTACATTCCCTAATGCTGCCTACCTAACACCTTTTTCTTTATTACAGTAATGCTGCGAATGACTCTTGGGTAGTGGGTGAGTGAGCATGCGTAAACGGTTAAATTCAGCCGTTTAACTACCAAGCCCGTCGTCACACGGTAATAACTGCTGTGAAGTACAATGAATGACTGTGCATATCGCTTTCAAAGGTATCATTAATGCATCATTTGACGTCTTTAGCTGTCTTACAAGTTACTTGCTCCTCAAAACTAGTGTTCCAAACTGACTGACTCGTGGCAAACAAATATTACCATGTGGAGGTATAATCATGTTTCAGTATTTCTACCATCACCCTTCAAAGAAACAAAAAATTTTTGTACAAAGCATAAACTGTAGCAAAGCCCTGTCTATTACAATTGAATGGACACTAGTGCAAACACAGCGTGACATCAGATTTGTATAGTCGTCAAGCGTTCTACAACAATGAGAAGGTCTTCTTGCCTTCTATGTCACTGTACAGATGCAAATTTTCTATAAAAAATTACAAACAGAACAATGTGTGGTGTGTGCTGCATTTGTTATTAAAAGTATATGCAGTGTGTTTGTTGGAAGTAATCCCCCGGGGTATAATAACAGCTAATATGCTGTGCTGCTAAGCTCAAGGGCGTGGGTACCATTGCCACTATGGTGGCTGCATTTTGGTGGGGACGAAACGCAAAGAAACCCACTCAGGTGCACATTAATTAAGGAACCTCCAGGGTGTCGAAATTAATGCATAGTCCCCCACTACGGCGTGCGTCAATTATAATAATGTTGTGGTTTTGGCACATACATCACCATAAATCAAAGCGAATGCCTTATATGTTTCATTCGAGCGTGACATTGAGTGAATAGTTGGCATATTACACAAAGTCGCATGATCACCCTTTAGGTCGAGGTGCGCTACTTCTTTAGGTCGAGGTGCGCTACTTGTGCGTCTACTATGTCTTAACAGCGTTCGCGAAACAAGAAAAATGGTGTTTGTGTGATGCAAAAGACGAGGTAAAACAGCCACACTGAATAGCGTTCGCTTTTCAGCCGTCCAACGAAGACGTAAGGAAGCCACTGATTTTTTTGTTACAGCTATAGAAATAGTATTACCAATAATACCGATGCCTCTGACCAGTGATCTTTTTGTCACATAAATAGTGTGCATTTTCAAGTAATTGTGGAAGCGGGGAGGAGAGCAAAAGAGCAAGACGCCCCAAGCAAATCAGCAGGGTCTTTAAAGCTTGAATGGCATAGTCGTTTCTGCTCCGTTGCCCCAAAGTTTCACCCTACCTCGAAGCGTTCAAGTGGCAGGACGTACAAACAATACCTGCCACTGACTCTTCTTTTTTTTTTTGAACCGAAAATGACGTCTATCACTTTCTTCTTTCAGAGCACATAGTTTACAGTCAATGTCTTAATTTTAAAACCGCAATCATGCATGCATAATTAATGCGTTTCTAAGAGCAGCGGTCATTTATATCCGTCAAACTTTATCGCGGTGGCAATTATATGAACACCAGAGACGCACTTTCGCCGTCACCGTCATGTTAGGTGTAAAGTATAAATCGTTACTTTCATCAAGAAATTGTGGGACCCTTAAGCTTCGCCTTTAAGAGTTGAATGCGATAGCAAAATCCGGCCCCTAGTGCACCCTTCAACCGCTAAGTGCATACTTATTAATGTGTTTTGTTACATTCACACGCACGGCTGCTGACCCGCAGGTCGTGGGTTCGAATCCCGGCTGCGGCGGCTGCATTTCCGATGGAGGCGGAAATGTAGGCCCGTGTGCTCAGATTTCGGTGCACGTTAAAGAACCCCAGGTGGTCGAAATTTCCGGAGCCCTCCACTACGGCGTCTCTCATAATCATATGGTGGTTTTGGGACGTTAAACCCCACATATCAATCAACATACACACGCACGCACACAAACACGCACACAGTAGATTGGACCAGCGCGCGCTATTATCGCCGAATGGGCTCGTTTTTTGGCGTGACACCTGTCGAACAAAATGCGTTAAAGGGGCCCTGAAACACCTTTTCAAGTAACAATGCAATAAATTCACTAGAAGAGCTTATTGCTTCAAAAATTTAACGCCGCAGAAATTTTAAGAATCCGTCCAGAGCGAGTGGAGTTACAAAGGCTTGTCATATGCTGCAATTGCATTATCTCTTTTCTCGTGCCGACGAAAGCGCTGGAAGCTAAGCAGTGAGGGGTGACAGGGCAAAGAAACTACCGCGCTTCGTAACCTGGAGCACTTTTTTTTTTTTCGAACGCGCGGCCTTTGCTGTGTGATTGCGTGCACACGCGTGGACAAGTAGCGGCCTCCCGCAGCTATCACGGTAACTAAATTTTTCGGTCACAGACGCACAGACGACTTTTCGCTCACAACCAATGAGGCCGCCGCCGGCGGCAGGTTTTCTGCGACATGAGCTCTCTAACGCTATTGCGTTAAAAGCGCCTGGTCGCACATGCAGGCGCGCGAGGAATCTCGATGGTCACCAATAGACGGCTGCAATCATTGTGCGTGCCATGCTTCCACCGATCTATGTTGAAGCGAAAGAGAGCGCGAAAACCGCTTCATTCCATGGAGCAGCCGTATTTACTCCAGCGTTTTGTGAAAATAAGTGAGATCGGCGTATAAAGACGTTAACTGCGAGCCTTAGTTTGGATAACATTCCAATTCGTTGCTATTACATTCATTGGTTCGCTGTTGTGGTGAAACTCGTGAGTTTTCTCGAGTTCACGTGCGCTACACTGAGTGGATATTGAGAAGAAAGAAGTAGCAGCCGTTGAGCGTGTCGCGCGTGCTGTGCTTTACCCTAACGTCTGGGATACCTGCGAGATTGCTCGGACAGTCGAAGAGCGCACCTTTGGTAGCCACTTTGAAGCACTCAAGGTAAGTGCCCTTGAGCCGCCGTCTTCAAGCCTTGTTTCGCGGTGGCTCGATGGCGCATGGTCCAGGACTCTGCTGACGCGTGAAGACCGAAATTTCCAGTGCTGGATCTACAGCCGTATAGCACGTTTAGATTAGGGCACGGCGCCTTCGTACCGTTTACGTATGTCTTTTTCTTCAAAAAGCTGGCTTAGCAGTGGCGAATATATATACCTTAACCCAACATCTATGGTTTTCGAAGCACATGACCGAAGCTTCATTGCAGCTGTTTCGCTGAGCAAAGCCTGAGGTGCTAAAAGATGAATTCCGTTCTGTGTTTTTCTTTAACCTAGCGGACGTCCAATTAATGTAAACACTGGCGTGATTAGGCGTGCATGAGAACCAACAACCGATTCGGAACAGCCCGATCAAACGATCTTTCTGCTTACAGGACGTTCGTTTCGCTCGTGTCGACAGCAATCAGCAGCAGGCCGCAGTATATTCGTTTGTAAGCAGAGCCACTATGCATGATTTTTATGTTAAAACAATTCTTTAATGTGCTTTCTTATGGCGTGGTTTAGTTGGTGTAGTGCGTGAACATTGTTCCGACGAGATGTCTCCTCACACTTTTGTGAAGTCGTTCGACGGGCAGACGAATTTGGCGCCGCTTGAAAATGTCTGACCAATAGCCAAGGTCTTATGGTAACGCTGGTACTCATCTAATGGTAAATATTTTTTTTTCGATCTGTTTACTTATGCTGGACGAATATTCGATCATGCCATTATGCGATGAAGCGTTCTCGTTGCTTTAGGCATAGTTTTGTCAATGCAAATCGTTCGCGCCACTCCATTCTTGCGGAACCTCTGCAAGCACGCCATTGACAATTCGTAGGGCGCGGCACCGTCATGTCTTCGTGGCCGGCGGCGGTGCAGTTCGCGGACGATGTGAGCCAGTCCTCGAGCAGCGTGTCGACGCAGGGCGACTACCAGGACGCGTGCGTGCCGCCTGCCGACGCAGCGCCGCTGCCGGAACCCATGCGCAAGATATCGCTCACCCAGCTGCCCTACATCCAGCCCGCTCGAGAACAAGACGAGCGCTGCGGCTGGTGCTGGTTCCGACCGGATTTCCTGCTCAACCTTCGGCACCCCCGGTACCCGCTGCCATGTGACGCCTTCAACGCTTTGAATTACAGAATAGACGCTTATTTCGTGAACAGTGCAGGCCATGAGTGAGAGGACAACAGGAGACACAGAGACAGACTGCGCTCGTTTCTCTCTGTGCCTCTTGTCTTCGTCCATATAAGTCGTGCGGCATTCGTTCGAGTATGTACCAACTCGCCGAAGTCCGAGGAGAATCTGCTTTTAGGCAGCTCGACATGGCTGGCAGCGGCACACTGCCCGAAGGGAAGGACAAAGCGAGAGTGGTCACGTCCTTGTCTGTCCTCTCTTTGTCCATTGTCTACAGTTCCGCTGCTTGAACCAGTGTTAGCTTAAAACAACTTGCTCCACTCAATACCGTTTGGACAAGGCCCTCACAACTTGTGTCTTGGACATGGGTCACTATTTGGTCACGAACCTACTAACAATACAATAGATCAACATAGTGCATTTACCTGCATTTACATGCATGCATATATGCAGTTACATTTACTTTACACTTGTGATTACATTTCATTTACATTGCATTACATTTACATTACATGCATACATACAGTCATTCCTTGACCGATAGACCATTGCGAAACCTTTGTGCATCACGCATAATATGAGATGTAACGCTATACACACACCTTCGACCGCCGAAGGGCTATAAGCTTCTGGCGTCGTAAGGTGGTGTGTTCTCCGCCAACATTTTCCTCTCGCCTTTTAGAAAGCAAGTTTTGCTGTAGCACACTAAACATATACTGTTGAAATAACCGATACGATTCGAAACAAGCCTCTTCGTTTCTTTGAAGTCAACAGGCCTTCCAGGCAGATGGAAAATTCTTGAACAAGGAAGGTTGTCACTGGAGCTGGCGTTTCGACAAGTGGTCTCGTCTTATTCAAGGGAACAACTGTCTTGAAGAAGACAGCACGTCATGTCGAAAGACTTTAAACGTTTAATCCAGCAACAAATCTCTTTGTTCAAGGAGTTTTCCTTGCTTCAAGGTTTCATCTTCCCATGAGTTTCCACTTTATATTGGTTGCTTCCTCTTTATACTGGTCCGGTTAAACTAAATGGCACTTCCGATATAAGATTGAGCCTTGCTTTCATAAAGAAGAACCATGCCACAAAACACTCCTTCGAAGTTAAGCGACTGCCATAGTCATGTGCAAAACTGGGCGCCGTTTACCTAACCATACATCCACTTCATCGCAGGTGTGTAAGGAGACAGTTTTTTGGGGGGAGGGTATAGGGCACCACCTTGACCTGAAGCGGGGACCAGGCAGGTAAATTGTCGTTTTGTGCTCTGCATACCATGGCGAAGAAAATTTCGGGGTGAAGCACGGGCCTGCCGTGCACCGCCGCCCTGGCTACGCCATCGTGCAACGGAAGTCCTCACACACCGTCGCAGGTACGTGCTCCTGGCCCTGTGCTGCATGGTGTTCCTGCAGGGGTTCGTGGCCAACGGGCTGGTGTACATGGTGCTGCCCACTCTGGAGCGGCGCTTCCAGCTCAAGAGCCTCGAGGCCGGCACCATTGTGGCCGTGTATCACCTGGCTTCGTGCATCTCGGCGCCGCTCGTCACGCTGATCGCGGCGAGGCGCAGCAAGCCTTTCTACCTGGCCATGTCGGCAATCGTCATCGGCATCGGCACCATGGTCATCGTTCTGCCGCACTTTATGGCGCCCCACTACCTGTAAGTGGTAAAAGCATGCCTTTGTTTAGGGCAGGTGGCGACCACAGACGTGAACGGTCGATACAAAATGGCGGAAGCGAACCAGAAAATTGACTGGTAAATACTTGGAAAACAGCAGGGGGCCAAACCAAAAAGAATTATCGGTTAAGAAGAAGGTGAAGGAAGCTGAGACCGATATGTGGAGAATGGGCATGATTAAGAAGTCCGCACTAGAAATCTATCGAACTTTTAAGCAGGAAATAGCCAAGGAAAGGATCCGTGATAATACTCGGGGTAGTTCTCTACTGCTTGAGGCCAGGACGGGAGTAATGCGAACAAAGACATATCGGGCCAAATACGAAGGGGTAGACACGGTATGCAGTGCGTGTGGTGAGGTAGAAGAAACTGCCGAACACTTGATGATGTTCTGTAAAGGGCTTCACCCTGTAGTTCAGGTTGATGGTGCAAAGTTTTTCAAAACACTGGAGTTTAGGGACAGTGAGGGCAAAATAGACTTTAAGCAGGTAGAATTAACTAGAAGGAAAATATCTGATTGGTGGCTAAAGTCAAGGCACGAGTGAAAATTGAACCATTCGCTGCAAAGTACGAATCCTCAACCTCACTATTTAAGGAAAAAAAATAAATAAATCTGATTTTTTATTCATTACGGCTTGGTGGCGCTAGCCACCGCCCGATCTAAAGGATACAGCCATATCCATCCGTCCATCCATCCATCCATCCATCCATCTTGAGACTAAATATATATGGTGTGGAATCATTATTCGGCATTTCCATATATATAATAAGTGGTAGTTTATCATTATAGGACAATATATATATATATATATATATATATATATATATATATATATATATATATATATATATATATATATATATATATATATATATATATATATATATATATATATATATAGCACTTACTGCATCTTGCCGCCACTATACTAACCGGCACCTAAGGGGTTTCGTTGAAATTGGGACCGGCTCAGCGAGCCGTAGAAAAAAAAATATAGGTGTTATGCAATCTTAAGGGACAAGGAGCGAGTGCAGTTGTTCAAGGAACAGACTGGTGTTAAGCACATCTTCGTATGAATTAAGACGAAATAATTATGGTATGGGTAGCGAGAAGCCAAGATAATGATATTCATTATTATTGGTGTTTAACGTCAGGAGTGGCAAGATATGTTCTCGCCACTGGTCACTAACAGTAACAGACTGGATTGCAAGAGACGGCGAACGCGTGAGATTAAGACAGAAAGATAGGTGGGCATTGAAGATTTAGATGTTTGTGGTGATCAAGCGAACACGACTATAGTACAGGGTCAGGTTTGTGGGCGAAGCGTGAGAAGTACATTTGCCGAGCACTGGGCGCAGTCGGGCTCATGACGATGATGACTGCATGTAAGACAAGTTGTTCCATGAAAACTACTTTGTCAATCGTTCGTAGACACCTTTATGGACAGTGCGCCAAAGGGCTGACCTGTACAATGTGGAATACCGGCATGCTGTCAAATGGATGCCATATCGGCTATGAATTGTTTTGAAGGGGTGCTACCGCTCCTCTTGTTGGTTCAAAACGCCGCCATTGCGGGATTTGATGGCATGGCGGAAATATACTACGTCCAGAAGACCCTCTTTTCAATCTGTCGTGGTACCATGACAACGGGCTGACCGAACATTGTTCGGGATGTTTTGTATTTGTGACATTTTTTGTGTGTGTTAATCTCATATGGCTACTACCACGTATTTTGCATTAAGTAGTGGTTATTTCTTCAGTGAATTAGTTTAATGTGTTATAATTAAGAAGTGCAGTCTGGAAAACGTGTATACATTGTGCTAAGGCAACCGTGTTTACTCGCATACTGTAAACACTGGTTAATGTTGGCATGCCTTGTCAGTAAATGTAAATGAACGCACAACGTTCGTACGGCTACGTATACAAAGGTTTTGCCTCGGAAAGTACGTTTTCCAGTATAAAGTCGTCTTCAATTATAGAATTATCCGCTTTAATAGAACAAATGGGTGGTGTCGCGTTAATTAATTGTTACGAGGCGTTGCGCATGAGCACGCCGTCTAAGATTAACTTGCCACGAAAGGTGACATACCGCGCGAGATGCTATCATTCGTTATGTGTCCCAGTGCATTTTAAATATTGTAATATGCTCGCTTTTGCGTTTCCCGCTCAATTGGGTTCCCCGTAACAATATACGCGTATTAAGGACTACTAACCGATAATGATGCCAAGGAAAGTATAGGGGATGTTATTTGAAGTAATTGTAATGTTTGTGCCTTGCACGTAATGTACGTATGGTAATTCGTAATGCAACTTGTATATTTTTTGTTTACCAGTAGTGTAAAGGGATTTGTTACTCGGAATGTGAAATAATGAATATCATGTATATCTATGTCCTCTGTAATGACTCCAAAAATGAATAGGCAGTGTTTTAATAAATAAATTATTAAATAGATAAATAAAATAAATACATTAAATTCGAAGAAAAGAAAGTAGACGAAAAGATAACTTGCCGCTGGCGCTATACTTTCGTTGGCAATACTGCCTGTTAGTCATCGTTTACATTGCGCCTAACAAAGAAGAACGAGCCGTTAAATGCGCACTTCTTTCCTTCCATAACAGTAAAGAAGCATAGAATACGAAAGAATACGGCGCAAACGTTTGAAAATTCAAAACTGGGCACTGCAGAGAGGAGAGCCAAGAACGCATGAGCTTGTGCCCGAGCAAAGGTGAAGAGGGGTCGTTGTGCGGCACACCAGAGGGCGACCTGCGTCGGTTCCGGTTCGTCTTCTGGGTGGGACACTTCATCGTGGGTGCCGGCTCGTCGCCCATGTACACGCTGGCCCTCATCTACCTCGACGAGAACGTGCCTACCACCCTGTCCACCAAGTACATAGGTGGGCTTCGTAAACCTACAGCATTGATAAAGGATTCAAAAGTCGTGTGACTGAAAGGATTCAAAAGTCGTTATAGCGAATGCTGACATAGCGAATTATTGGTTATAGCGAACCGAACTACATCTTTTTTTTGGTCATGCTGCATTTCAATTACAATAGAGTTTTAGGATGGAGTAACGCTAAGTTTATGTTAACTGTGGTCGCCGGCATTTTAGTCAGATTGATTGATTGATTGATTGATTGATTGATTGATTGATTGATATGTGAGGCTTAACGTTCCAAAACCACCATATGATCATGAGAGACGCCGTAGTAGAGGGCTCCGGAAATTTGGACCACCTGGGGTTCTTTAACGTGCGCCCAAATCTGAGCACACGGGCCTACAACATTTCCGCCTCCATCGGAAATGCAGCCGCCGCAGCCGGGATTCGATCCGGCGACCTGCGGATCAGCAGCCGAGTACCTTAGCCACTAGACCACTGCGGTGGGGCGGCATATTAGTCAGTTAACAGAAGTCCGCGAGAGGTTAGTGCACGACGCGTGCGCAGTTGCGGCAAACGCAAAGCTTCGCCTATACGCGATTCTAAAACTCTATTTTACTTCTATATACGGTCTGCATACTTCACTTCAGTTCAATTGTGGTAATTGTCGTTTCGGCCGAGATTAGCTCAGTGTTCTAGTAATGAACTTGCGAATGCTAAGTAAAGTTGGTACACACGATGACGTCTTCCAGAATCGACCAGCTACATAGGGAACGAATCTGCTAAATCACCTGGTTCGCTATTTCTAACTCCGCAGCGACTTACCAGGCAACGTCACTCCTCGGAACGGCCACCGGTTTTGTGCTGTCGGGATACATGCTCAACGTCTACACCGAGGTTTCGTACGATCCTTCGAGGTACGGAACTACAGAGACACGTTCGTTAACTCGCCACGCAACGTCGTTAAGCCTAATACAAACGTGTCTGCACTTTTCCTCCATAGCATTGTTCTCGCTCTTGCTTTAGACGTCAAATTTTTACCTCTCCACTTGGCGATTCTTTGGCTCACACCACAGATTGTATTGACACTTCAGCCCAACCGAGATCTGACTTAGTTCTGTAATTGCGTATATGCACTTTTCGACTGAATTCACCAACCGTATTCAAAGACATTTTAGAACAGGCTAACTTTGGATTCTATTTGCTAATTCTTACTATACGCTGAGTGAAATTGTAATCATTCAGTTTCTCTTCAGTTATCAATATGCCGCTGCTGTGTTTATTAGTAACAGCGCAGTACGTTTTCGGCATGCATGCGATTTTCACGGCTATCGATGGTCATCGGGCTCTTCCTTCTCCAGGATGGGCCTGACGCCCGCGAGCAACATCTGGACCGGCGCTTGGTGGCTCGGCTATCTGATTGGCTCCGTTTGCTCCATCATCGTGGCTTTTCCCACAAGCCTCCTGCCCAAGGAGCTGCCAAGTAAGGCCCACATATTGGCACAAATTCGTTCATATTACTATAAGTATCAGTACTAATTACTGGCTATGGAGTCCGGGGAAGCCTTCAATTACTGACAACCGAAACATGGCGGTAAAGCATAGCGCTACGAAAACTCGCTTGTGACCACCGCATGATGCGCTCCTCGATTGCAATCATGTCCCAGCCTCTCAATTTCAGAGGTACCATATCCCCAGCTTTAGGCCCGTATTCACAAACCAACCTCAACCTTACCTCGAGTTTCCCTTATCGGTTTCAAGCCCTCATTGCGCTTGATGTCAATATTTATGAACCAATATTGCAAATATACTTTACGCTGTTAGACATTCTAGTGCCCTAATAACGCATGGAGGGAGTACAGAAACTTGAGGGAAACGCGAAATAAGGTCATATTGATTTGTTTATACGCGCCTTAGAATTCTAGCTTGTGTAAGCAGGCAGAGCTTGCATTCAATAAAAAGCGCTAGCAGAAGGCGAGCGAACCTAAACACGTTCGTGTGTTTCGTCAAGGATGAAGCGAAGTCCACTACTTGTGCATGTATCAACGTGCATTACATAGAAACCACCTGTTGTTCGTGTGTGCATTCGGAAATGTACAACGTCAATAATGAGCCGTGCACTCATTGATTTGGTAGATCTCTCTTTCTACAATATGGGGGACAGCATTTGATGATGAATTTTGAACACGGCAGACCGGCCTTCACCAATGTAGTTATACACTACCGGTAAAAATCGAAAAGTCTGTACGCGTGGCAGTAATCAAACCATACTGTCCTTCTCTTTCAATGTCAATTTCTGTAGTTATTTTTTCTTCAAAACTCGTCACCGTGTTAACAGCCGTTCATCGTAGTTTTCATTTTTTTTTGTCTTTCTTCAGGCCAAATATGGGCGAAATTGGAGAAGAAATGCGCCTCGACCTCCAAGAAAGGCAGGAAAGCCAAGGATGATTCAGCCGGCTTCACGAGCATCCCGACCAACGTGAATGCCTTGCTTCACAACGCAACGTACATGTTTCTCTGTCTGGCCGGCACAGCGGAGAGTAAGCTCACAGCCTTCGCACGCTAAGCGCTCGAATCCTTAAAAAATTTGCAATGTGCCCTTTCAGTTTTGACAGAATGTAGCGCGCACGCAAACACAGATACTAAAAGAAACACGAGGACAACACGGGTGTTTTCCCGCCTTTTCTTCCAGTGTTGGCATGCGTAGCATATTCTGTCAAAAATTAACACGTACTGACTAGCCCGATTTTCGCTGCTACTGTCGTTTCAGACGCGCTGGCACCATAGTTTTGAATATTCCCGATGAGCGATGTCATGATATTTTTTCGAATGCAGTGTTTATAATGAGCGTCACTAACTATACTAATAACACGACGACATAATAACCTCCAAATAGAGTTTACCTGGCTTGGCTTCTTAGAGAGAGCGTCATTGTGGCAGGGACTGTCATATATATATATATATATATATATATATATATATATATATATATATATATATATATATATATGAATCTTCTAGAAGATCACTTTCCCGCCCGAAATTGCCGGTAAAAGAAAGGTAACCGCTAAGTTTTGTTTCTTCTTTTTCTTAGTACACATGGCTCATCGAAAGAGGAAACACCCCATTCCGTACATTACATACGCTGCTCGTACGTTGATAACAACTTCCGTTCCTCGCCCTTGTGAAGTTAGGGTACCACGTCTATTTAGGGTCTCGTCAGTATATATCGTCTTATCTATTGACAGTCTCGGTGCAGTTACATGTTCAACTGGTCACTGCTTTCCAGTACGCACGCTTTTATTAATAGGGAGTTTTAGAATACCGTTTGCAAGCGCTGCGGGCGTTTCGGGCGCCATATGAGTTTTAGAATAGCGTTTGCCCTATTACTGCGAACCGCAATGCACGATCGCAGCGACACCGTAGCCTCGAAACCAGCGCTTGCGGGCCACATGCGGGCCACATGCGGGCCACCATTACCGCACGCAATTTCGGATTTTTTGCGTGCGGTCCGCGAACGCGAACGCCAACTTGCGTTACGACGCATGCGCAGTGGCAGCGACCGCACCGCAAAGGCTCGCAGTGCGCTATTCTAAACTCCCTAATGATTTAAGCGGTTGTTACCTGCACGTATTGCCCGCTACTAACACCCGCTTTTTTAACTGACGTCAGAGTTTCGTTTTTTTTTTTATTCCTTGCCTTATAGCTATGATAATGACCGGCCTGGCGACCTTCATGACGAAAATCTTCGAGTCGCAGCTGGGCATGAGCTCCTCCGCCATGGCCCCCCTACTGGGTACGTAAGGGTCAATCCGTACACTATACAACGCCACTATGATTTGTTCTCCACGAACACTTTCAGTGACAAGTGAAGTATACCCTAAACTATTTTTGTAGTTAGTAAATAGTAACTTATTTACGAGTCTCTAACGTATACTACTATTTTCGCGGCATTTCGTTCGTAGATGCTTTAGTGTATCATGCCGTATATAGTCTTCACAGTTATGCGAAATTTAGACAAACTTTAATTGTCTCGATTACATTTGAACAATTTCGTATTACGGGACAGGACACATACTAATGAAGGGCGCCAGGTAATCGTTACAAAACATGAATCATTCTTCTAAGTTATGTGACTGCTAACCAGCAAGTGTGTGCTATCCCAAAGTATAAGCCGAAATAGCTTTCAAGCTTCTGTTACAGAGTGTATATCGAGTGCTTTAGAGGTCTTGATATTGTGTGGAGTTTGCGCTTGTCCTCATCTGTGGTCCGTTCATGCCTGTATGTGCGCTGGTGTTATGTCTACTTACCATGGTGATTATTTGAAGCAATTGGTGGTTACAAATCAGTGTACATGGACAATGCCGGTTCGTTTCTTTATTTGATGTTATTTGTTTTGTAATAGAATGAACTTGATAAGACAATGCACACGCACGTATACAAACAACATAGGCGTCAGCCCCCAGTAGCCTAATTGTAGTCCAGCAGAGCAAGTAATGTTACTGAGTTACTATTGCGGTTGCTAACAATTTAGTAACGAAGTGTAGTCATTCGAGTTGATACTATTCACCCACTAACCAAGTAACAAATTTCACGAGCATACGCTTTACTACCTTCCCTAAGAGGTTATAAGCATGCGCCGCGGTTCTATAGCTCCCGCAGTGCTGTCAGTAAAAGTTGTCGCCCAGTATAGCAGCAAACGAGCACACAGTCCGGGAAATCGGTGAAGTCTGCACAATTCTTATTTTAATTTATTGTGTGAAAGAAGCAGTCTATTAATATTGTTACGTGAGTAACGAGACAAAGTATTGCGAATATATTCGAAAAATATATTTGCAAGAGCGGTTGCAGCACTGGCCAGTCTGGCTCCGAGCTCGAGCAGCCAGCGAGCCTCATCTTCTTCGTCGGGCGCACACGCGCATTCGCACTATGGTTTGTGGCAGCCTACAGGTAGCATATAACCCCCGTCGGCAAAGGCGCCGTCTCGGCGCATCTAGATGTCAAGATCATTGGGCGAGTGGTACTGCTTCAGGCGTGCGACGTGTACGATGTCGCTGGCCCTAGGGGTGGATGAAGACGGCGAGGCAGCAGGAGTGATTTCATAAGTGACGGGAGTCACCTCACGAAGCACTCTGTAGGGCCCTGTGTACCGAGAGAGCAGCTTGTCAGACAGGCCAACGTGCCTGGTCGGAGACCACAGCAGAACCAACGAACCGGGCGAAAAGTGCACATCGCGGTGTCGTTGGTCGTACCGACGCCGTTGGTTTGCTTGGGAGGTCAGAAGGCGAGCACGAGCGGTTTCGCGTGCGTGGGCGGCCCGGCTGATGGCGTCCAGAGCATATTGTGAAGTTGGAGCTGCTGGTAACGGAATCGTCGTATCGAGGGGTAATGTGGGTTCGCGGCCGAACAGCAAGAAAAAAGGGGAGTAACCAGCCGTGTCGTGGCGCGAAGAATTGTAGGCAAATGTCACGTATGGTAAAGCGATGTCCCAGTCAGAGTGATCTGAGGAAACGTACTTTGCAAGCATGTCAGTTAGGGTTCGGTTCAGGCGTTCTGTGAGGCCATTTGTTTGCGGATGGTACGACGTAGTGAGCTTGTGGCGTGTTGCACAAGAGCGTAGAATGTCCGCTATGACTTTCGATAGAAATGTGCGGCCTCGGTCCGTGAGCAGCTGGCGTGGAGCACCATGTTGCAAGATCACGTCGTGTAGAAGAAAATCGGCGACGTCAGTGGCGCAACTTGTTGGAAGGGCGCGTGTGATTGCGTAGCGTGTGGCGTAGTCTGTGGCCACAGCTATCCACCTGTTGCCAGCAGAAGACAGAGGAAAAGGGCCGAGTAAGTCCAAGCCGACGCGAAAGAAAGGTTCAGTAGATATATCGAGTGGTTGAAGGCGCCCAGCCGGAAGCGTCGATGGTGTTTTGCGGCGCTGACATTCCTCACACGCCGCGACGTATCTTCTGACGGACCGTGCCAGACCTGGCCAATAGAAGCGACGGCGAATCCGGTCGTATGTGCGGGACACACCCAGGTGACCGGCAGTAGGAACGTCATGAAGTTCGTGGAGTACAGCCAAGCGGAGGTGTTTGGGTATGGCAAGCAGCAGAGATGGGCCGTCTGGATGGAAGTTATGCCGGTATAATGTGCCATTCTGGAGTACGAACGAGCGATAGGATCGGTTCGATGGGGAGGAGTCGAGGCGCTCAATGATAGCTCGTAGGGCTGCATCACGGCGTTGCTCGTCGGCTATGTGGTTCAGTTGAGAAACGGAGCACACGCAGGCGTCGTTGTCAGGTATGGTGGCCGATGGGTCAACTGGATAGCGAGAAAGGCAATCGGCGTCCTGGTGCAGGCGTCCAGACTTGTATATCACAGAAAAGGTGTATTCTTGCAGTCGCAGAGCCCAGCGACCAAGTCGACCTGTAGGATCTCTTAAGGATGAAAGCCAGCAGAGCGCGTGGTGGTCGGTGACGACGGAAAAGTGAGTGCCATATAAATATGGACGGAATTTTGAGACCGCCCAGACAAGAGCAAGGCATTCTCGCTCTGTGATCGAATAGTTACGCTCTGCAGGTGTAAGGAGGCGGCTAGCATACGCGATAACGCGGTCGTGTCCCTGTTGGCATTGGGCGAGAACGGCTCCGATACCGTGACCACTGGCATCAGTTCGGACCTCAGTTCGGGCAGATGGGTCAAAGTGGGCGAGGATAGGGGGCGTCGTCAAAAGTGTTATGAGGTGAGAGAAGGCGGCAGCTTGAGTGGACCCCCACGAAAATGGAACGCCTTTCTTCAAAAGATCGGTAAGTGGTTGGGCGATTGCCGCAAAATCTTTCACGAACCGCCTAAAGTAGGAGCAAAGTCCCACAAAGCTCCGGACATCTTTGGCGGATTGGGGTACTGGGAAATTCGTGACGGCACGAATTTTCTCAGGGTCCGGTCTCACACCAGAAGCATCGACAAGGTGGCCCAGCACGGTAATCTGTCGGCGGCCGAAGTGACACTTCGAGGAGTTCAACTGGAGGCCAGCTTTGCGGAAGACGTCGAGAATGGCCGACAGACGCTCAAGGTGGGTCTCAAACGTAGGTGCAAATACGAGGACGTCGTCTAGGTAACACAGGCATGTTGACCATTTGAACCCGTGTAGCAGAGAGTCCATCATACGTTCGAACGTGGCGGGGGCATTGCATAGGCCGAAGGGCATAACCTTGAATTGGTATAGGCCATCTGGAGTGATGAAGGCGGTCTTTTCTTGGTCTTTCTCGTCTACGGCAATCTGCCAATAACCAGAACGAAGGTCGATGGATGAAAAGTAGCGTGCGCCGTGGAGACAATCGAGGGCGTCATCAATACGTGGTAAAGGATACACGTCCTTTTTGGTGATTCGATTTAGATGCCGGTAATCGATGCAAAAACGCCATGTGTTGTCCTTCTTTTTAACCAGGACGACGGGTGACGCCCATGGGCTTGATGAGGGCTCAATAATGCCTTTAGTTAACATCTTATTCACTTCAGCTTGAATAATCTGGCGCTCCGACGCGGACACGCGATACGGTCGACGGTGAATGGGAGCAGCATCACCGGTGTTGATGCGGTGCTTTACAAGAGAAGTTTGGCCGAGTGGGCGGTCGTCAAGGTCGAAGATGTCACGGTAGGAAGCTAGAAGGCGTGCGAGAGCGGCTGATTGCGCTGGGGGAAGGTCAGGGTCGATCATGGGACGTATTGACATGTCGAGGCATGTGGCATCGAGTGGGCGACAAGGAAAATTGGGGCATGCGTCGGCTGCGAAAGTGTTGACGTGATCATCGGCTAAGGACCGCAACGTGGCAATTAGGATGCCTTCAGGGAGGACTTGCTTTGTGAAGCCGAAATTTATGACGGGTAGACGGGTCCGGTTGGAGGCTACAGTTACGATGCAGTGAGGGACGGTGACGTCACGTGCCAGTAGGACATCAGGAATCGGCGTGACGATGTAATTCCCATCCAATACGGGTGAGGTCGTGGCGAATTCGGTGAATGTGAGGGCTTTAGGCGGTAAGCGGAGGAAGTCTGTGGCAGAAAGGCCGTGTTGAGGTTCAGGGTGAATATCCGGCTGAAGAGGAAGGTCTAAGCAAAGAGTACCAGCGGAACAGTCGATCAGAGCAGAATGGGTCGACAGGAAGTCCATCCCTAAGATGAGGTCATGAGGACAGTTCTGGAGCACCGTGAATAGAACAGGGATGTAACGGTCGGCGATGCGTATGCGAGCCGTACACATGCCAATGACAGGAACAGTGCCGCCATCGGCCACACGTACAGCTTCGGTAGCAGGGGGCGTGAGTACTTTTCTTAAGCGGCGACAAAGATGAACGCTGATTATGGATACATGAGCGCCAGTATCGACTAGTGCCGACAGAGAAATACCGTCCACGTGTACATCGACAAGATTTTTGTTCGTATGAAGCGTCAATGGAGGGTTTGGTTCAGACAGGGATGATGCAGCACTACCTCCAGGGGCTGCACTGTCTAGTTTTCCGTCGGGTACGATGAAAAGTTAGGCGGCGAGTGATGGCGGCGTGGCTGGGGCGACGGGGAACGACGGCGTTGAGGGGACGGAGAACGAGCAGGAAGGCGGCTGTTAGACGTGTCGAAAGCAGGGGCGGTACGGCTGGACGAATACCGGCGAAGATCTTCATATGGGCTATAAGGTGCGAAAAACTGGCTCCTATGTGGCGGCGTCCAGGAGGCACGGCAGTAGCGGGAGACATGTCCAACGCGGTGGCACCGGAAGCAGATCGGTTTGTCGTCAGGAGTTCGCCATTCCGCCGGGTTGCGAGATCGTGGAGCAACAAATGGGTCACGTCGAGGTGCATTAATGGGAATTGGTCTGGAGGAGGGGCAAGAGATGGGGCAAGCATCAGGGAACCCGCGGTTGGCGAATTCTTGTCGTACGACCGCCTGAATAACGGAGATCGCGGGGGTTGTCGGTATCGTATGTTCGAAAGAAGTGGGCTGAAGCGGCGCTGGACTTGCTGCTTCAAGTTCCCGTCGAACGATACGCGTTACACTCTGCTCAAAGGGCGGTGTGACGGTAGAATCGGAGCAGGTGGACGTAGCCGCCGTGTTTGGCAACCGAGAAAAAGGAGGGCGCACCCGACGGCTTTTTGCTGTTTCGAAACGGCGGCATTCTTGAATTACACGGTCGATGGTCGAGACGTTAGTGTACACCAGCAAATTGAAGGCGTCGTCCGCGATCCCCTTCAAAACGTGTCCAACCTTTTCAGCCTCAGACATCGCCTCGTCCACTTTTCGGCAAAGAGCGAGAACTTCTTGGATGTATGACACATACGATTCAGTTGGCGACTGGACACGGGTAGCCAGCTCCTGTCGTGCAGCTGCGTGGCGACCGGTCGGGTCCCCAAAGATGTCACGTAGCTTCTCCTTGAACGTGTCCCAGCTGGTGAGTTCGGACTCATTTGTCTCGTACCAGACACGCGGGGTTCCGTCCAAGTAGAAGAGAACATTAGCGAGCATCATGGTAGGGTCCCAACGGTGAGTTTGACTGACCCGTTCATAAAGGCGAAGCCATTTGTCGACGTCGAGGCCAGGTTGTGCAGAAAATGTCCCGGGATCACGTGGTGTTTGGACGGCGACAAAGGTTGTCGGAGAAGCCGCAGATGATGAAGCGGACGCGTTGTCACTGGAAGCCATGGCGGGAAGCTGGAGGATGCGGCCACTGCGGAGCTGCGTGGTGAGGACGGGGATCGTTCCACCTCCACCAAATATGTTACGTGAGTAACGAGACAAAGTATTGCGAATATATTCGAAAAATATATTTGCAAGAGCGGTTGCAGCACTGGCCAGTCTGGCTCCGAGCTCGAGCAGCCAGCGAGCCTCATCTTCTTCGTCGGGCGCACACGCGCATTCGCACTATGGTTTGTGGCAGCCTACAGGTAGCAATATGAATGTCCACCAGCAGGATATCTTTAGCGAAAAGCCCATGAAAGCTACAACACGGAACTTAACGCACTTGTTATTCTATATGGAAGCTCATCTAATTCGTATGTAGAAGTTAAATAGCAGTACATCGAACATTGTCTTCACACAACTTAAAAGGATCACAAGGACTGCCATCGCAAATACGTTTATTCTGTGTATATTGACGCGTGTGTATATGAAAAAAAACGACGATAGGAATGTTTTGTAGTTTCCAGCTAGTGGGTCAGGGGGTTTTTCGAGACGACAACGAAGCAAGCGTCTTGCTGTACAGCTGATCCTGAACACGCTCTTTTCGCTGACGTAAGCTGCTGTCATCCTTTGTTCGCGTTGCACTGCGACAATATATTGCCGAAATCCTTGCTTAGAAAGACTTCTTAAAGCTTCCTCTCCTTGACCTCTCCTCCTCCGCTTCGTTTGGGGAAAAATGTACGCAGACAATACCAACCGTTGGCTCCAGTGACTCCTTGTGTTTAAATTTTTTTCATATTTTCATGCGTCCGTCTTCTGAAATTGTTTTGCTTAAAGCTTATGCTGGCAATCAGCTATGGCATGAAAATTTCTAACAATATGAAGCTGGGTATTTAGGGTGATCATATAAGCTTTATTGATTTAACATACGTTGTATACCTTTCTCTTGAGGAATAGTGGCGATCTACCATTCGTTATTTGAGAATGTTTGCCGAATGTGCTCCACCCCATTCTCATTCTTCCAATTACTTCAATCTCGTAGTTCGGCTCCGCGGTTTCTACCTGTCCTAATTACAACGTCAAGTGCACTGCTACCTACCTCGAAGCGCTGTTTTCTTCCGATGTTGTTGTACTTTACTTTCGTTTCCTGCACATTAAATTAAGACCTACATTTCTGCTCTTCTTGTCTAATTCAGTAATTATTAACTGCAATTCGTCCCCTGAGTTCCTCGGCAATGCAATCTGATCGGCGAATCGCAGATTACTATAAGGTACTCTCCATTAACTCTTATTCTTAAGTCTTCCCTTTCTAGGCCTCTGAAAAACCCCCTGTAAGCACGCGGTAAATGGCGTTAGAGGGATCGTGTCCCCTTGTCTTACACCCTTCTTTGTTTGTATCCTATCGCTTTTTTTAGGGAGAACTATGGTGGTAGTTCATCCGCTGTAGATTTCTTCCAGTATGCTTATATATGCTTCATCGACGCCCCGATTCCGCAGTGTCTATATGACTGCTGGTATGTCTACTGAATCAAACGCCTTCTCGTAATCCATGAAGGCTACGTACAGTGATTCGTTGTAAAGTGAGGGTTATAGAGTGAGGGCGACATGATGAAAAGTCCCAACGAAAGACAACAGAATTACATAATGATAGACCACAAAAAAAAAATGAAATGGGTTATAGAGAACAGCACAAAACGCTAAACTTCGTTATCATTTTTTAAATGTTCATTAAATTTCGAAATGTTCCGTTCAATTGCGGTAGTTCGAAGCAGCTGGTTCCATTCAATGATTGCTTTTGGTATGAACGTATTAGCAAAGATGAGGTACGGCATGTGATGCGTCTGACCTTCAGAGGGTGATCATGGCGAGGAAAGATTGCTAAGGGTGACAAAAAAATCGTCATAAAGCAATGGATGATGATAGATTTTATGTAAAAGAGATAAGCTAGCAAGTTTTCGATGATGGGAAAGGTTAACAAGACCAGCACGAGCTTCTAAGGCAGTGAGGCTAATGAAACGAGGGTAGTCAGAACAAATAAAACGAGCAGCACGGTTGTGCAGGGATTCTATGTTATCAGTTATGTATGCTTGATACGGATCCCGTATGGCTTAAGCGTACTCAATTTTCGGGTGGATATGGGTAATATCAGTTTTCGCGCAAGCGTAGGAGCACGACGCAGATTACATTTAAACATCCCGAGGGAGCGGTTAGCAGCTCCAAGAATGTGGTCTATGTAATAGTCCCAATTCGATCCCAGGAGAGATCGGATTAGAGGTAAAGTCATACTATTTGTATGATGTGACTGAGTCCACGAGTGTGTGATTAAATGTATATATGGTCGAAAGGTGGCTAGAATTTTGTTTGATATGTTTGATAAAATACAGGTAATGACTTTGATGACTTATTTGCCAAGAATCTCTGATATTTAGGTTTAGATGAGAAGAATTAGGCGGTGTTAATGATTACGGGGTGCTTAAATGTTCGACTTCCTCGTTTGTCTGGCGTTATGTCGTGCCCGTATTGCCATGGACCCTCAGCTGTAGTCTCTTGGTATGGTTTTATTTTGCTTGCTTATGAAAACATAGCAAGTATATGCTCTCTATGACAGACCAATGTTGCGCGTTGCCGTGTGCAGGTAGCGTGGCGGTGCCGGGCGCTTGCGGCGGCATCCTCCTGGGCGGCTACTGCGTGCACAAGCTGAACCTGGACGTCGACGGCATCGTGCGCATGTGCCTGGTGTGCTCGGTGGCGGCGTGGCTGAGCTGCTTCGTGCTCCTCTACAGCTGCCCCGCGCCGACCTTCTTCGGCTTGAACCACACGTCGAGCCGGTTCTTCGTCTCCAACGTGTCCAACCAGTTCGACCAGCCGTGCAACGCCAACTGCCACTGCCCCATCGAGAACTACGACCCGGTGTGCGGCAAGGACAGGCTCACCTACTATTCGCCCTGCTTCGCCGGCTGCAAGCGGGACTACATCTACGAACACGTCAAGGTGTGGTGCACTGGAGCTATATTGATTATTGTGCGAACAACAACTTCCTTAGGAGTGTGGTTTGATGACAACGTCATAACTTTCTGAAACCCTTCACAACGTATTTCTTTTACGGTGACGTCCCTTTCTACACGCGGACACACATACAGGAGTGACGTCACGGATACAAAGACGCGCGCGCGCGATTGAGTGGCGTGCTCACAGTGCATGTGTGCGCCAGATTGGCATGAAAAAATTTTCAGTAAATTCAGGTGGTGGAATTTGAATACTGCGCCTCTAGGCGAACGTGTTTACCTCAGCTTCCCATTTAACCACATGTTACAAGAACCCAAAGTAGTCTAAACTGTTCCGTAGTTTACCAACGACAGTGTGCTTCGTAATTATATTATCATTTTGGCACGGGAAAAAAAATTCTCCGACAGCTTGATTTCAAAGGTCATGTTGTTTGCCACTTTAGTAAACCAGAATGTTCTGTAACATACTCGCCATAGCGTAAAGCTTAATGGAGCACGCAGGTACTTAGGTTGAGACTGGCGTTGGCTGCATGTCGTGGGTTATTTTTAACTGGCATTATTCTGGGAAGGAATTGGCCACCTTTCCTCGTATGCAGTGATGCTTTCCTTCCTGCATTCCTTTACTCGGGAGAAGATATTGAGTGCGCGGTCTCTCAAATAGATCCGCCCAGAAAACCACACGAGCTCCCCTACAAATCTTGAGGCCAACTTCACAGAGCGACGGCCTGTGAAACCCTGCACTGTGCAATGTGCCTTTCCTCTCTTTCTCTCTATCTCTCTTTTACTTCATTATTCCCCTCTCCCCACGTGTAGTGTGGTGAACCGGACGTAGTCAAGTTAATCTTCCTACCTTTCTAATATTCTCTGTCTGTCTCACATTCGCAGGTGTACACGGACTGCCAGTGCATCTCGCACCCTGGCGTGGAGACGATGGTGCTGTGGGGATTGCCGCAGAAGGTGCAGGCGGATCGGAGGAAGTGCGTGCACGAGTGCAACGCCCTATTCGCCTACATGAGCGGCATATTCATCTACACGTTCTTCACCTTCTTCCTCTGCACGCCAGGAGTGTCGGCCACGATACGGTAAGCGGTTCGGCAGCGCATATTAAACGCCACTGCTATCACATGCGAAAGTGCAGAGGGTGGGACGTAGAGGCTTAAAGAAGCGAGGCGCCGCTAATACTCTCTGAGCAACGGAGTGCAGTTGTCCGTTGGTACGTATAATAAAACCTGTTGTTGGGCTAGTTGGGGCATGTTGCAAGAAAACTAGATGACGCCAACCATCGAGGAAGAGCTCATTTTCTCGGTGAATGTAGTATTACTGAACAGAAATGAGCGTACAATAGCGGCACTAGTCCGCCAGTATTATAGTAGCCCGCTGAGGGTAAGGGGGCGTGGCGCTGATATAGTTATCTAGCCGAACAGTGGCGTATGTGAGTAAAGTGAGTAATGTTCATCACGTGAGTAACGTAGCCGTGATGGTCGCTTGAGTCCATTTCCAGCTGCAGGAAGCAATCAACGTTCTCTATTGAACCATAGCTTTTGAAGGCGCGAAAAAAAGTATACCGCGAAACAACGACACAGGACCAGCGCTTGTGCTCTAGTGTTTTCCGTGTATCCTTGCCCTCTCGCAGATGCGTCGATGAACACTTGAAGGCCTTCTCGTTGGGGTTTCAATGGATGATGGTGACCTTATTAGGTAAGAAAGCAGTCACCAGAAAAATCTGGGTTTTTCGAGATGACATAAATTAGTGCTTGTCAAATACTTGCGCGGGCGTGTTCCTTTATCGAACACAGCTTATGTGGAAAATAAACAACGATCCCAAAATGGAGCGACGTCTCAGCATGCAAGAGCATTGCCTATTGCTCCTGGCACTTGCAGACTCATGTAGAAGCGCTCAATTCGTGGAGGTATGAAATCTCCTACCACTGGCGACATCACTTTGACAAAAAATGAGTCGTTTGGCTTTTGTTGTGAGCGCTGATTTGCTACGTATATTACTCTATAAAGAGACACGTGAGCACTCGCCTCCTAAGAAATCATTACAGTCTCGTCAGAGCCGTGGGACCCATAACGGAGTTCATTTGTCTCTCTACAGAGAGCCATGTGCATGGAACACTGATCATTTGCGTTACGGCCCGGGACATGCACGCACAAAAAAGGGGGAGGGGGAGAGCATGCACCCAGTCTTTAAAAAATAAAACCGCCAATGCAGGCCTCCGCGATTGCCTACTGGCTCGCGCCGAGAAATTCCAGAGGCCAAACACCATGCACCAGCTTCGATTTCGGCGATCTCCGTGTGCTGCTGATTTCGGCGATCTCCGTGTGCTGCTGCGCAGGTGCCATCCCCGCAGCGGTGCTGTTCGGCTTCGTGATCGACAACAGCTGCGTCCTGTGGAACACGGTGTGCGAGCAGCTGGGCGCGTGCGCCGTGCACGACAACGAGGTCATGTCGCGCAACCTGTTCACGGCCGTCATCGTCCTCAAGACGCTCTCCATGCTGTTCTTCGTCAACGCGCTCATATCCCTGCGTGGCTCCGGCAGCTACCGAGGCAGCCGCGACGGCACGCCCGAGTGCGACACGAGCTCCGCCACCGCGACGGTCATGCAATCGGCGCACAAGCTGGCCCGCCTCATCCAGCGTCGAGCCTCGTCCGGCTCCCTGTACTGACTGCGGCACGACGCGTGCATCGTGTGCGCTGCTCCGCGCATGCGCACCATGTCGTCGTTAACGACTCATTTCGTTCGTATAGCGGTTTTTGTGTGTGTACGTTTTCATACATACGATTTAGTTTAGAAGAGCCGTCTTACGCACGGTACAGGCGTCACCGTGTTCACACTCAAACAATTACATGCTTATAGAATCGATTATACGTGCAGACATAGTTCATCCTATTGCATGTTTACGTGTGTGCATGACCGGCCTCCTCTGCCAGTCGTGCGCGTTATCGATCGTCCTGATAACCTGCCGTACCGCAGTATGCGCCGCAGGTTTAGCTAAACACGGTGAAAGAACCGAGTATGCGACGTAACGTTAAACGTCGTCTGGGTATAGCTGAACCAGAATTAAGCTTTTTCTTTTCAGGCTGTCCGACTACACATACTTGTGTAGAAGGCAAATCATTGCTTTTATACAAGTGAGTGACTCTCGCGTGCTATTGATGCATTGACGCCCAGTTTGTGTGGCTGCATGCGCTCGATGCGATTCCTAATCGACGAAATGCACATATCGGCGGAAATGGTCTCCGCGCTTTCGTCCGGCCTCCTGTTCCGCCATAAAAGACGCCAGAATGTATACGCGTTTGTACAAACGATAAGTTTACTTTAGTAGAAGAATCATCGTTATGAGTGCAAAAATAAAAAGATGTCACGTGTCACCACGTCACAAATTACGATAGAGCCAACACGCCAATCATCCTTGAAGAATCCTGTCGGGGGGCGCGATTCTTGCCCCAGTGCCATCAGTGACGTGGATGCTGCGACGCTATGCGAGTGATAGCAGCACTGAGCAGGAGACTCGCTCGCTGGATTTCGTGCCGACCGGTTGTGCCCTCGCAATTTCCGACGACAGCGTAGCTCTGGCCTACTGGACTTGCCCTGCGCCATCTCCTGACGCCGACAAGAGGTCTCGCCAGTGGTCCCCCGTCCTTGGACTCCTGAAACCGTGTCCGTCTTTCCTGTCTTCTCTTTACTTCTGCCGTTCGCTGCCCCTGCACCTCGCTTTCTCCTTCCTCTCTCTCTATCCATTTACCTTTTAATTCTACCCATTTGCTCCCTTCTCTACCCTCATCCCTCGTGAGCTACTGTTGAGGTGTCCTCCCCCTGCGAGACAGTTACGGGGCTCACTTTTCTTTTTACTTTAAATCACTCCCCCCCACCCCCCAGCACTGAGCACAGGTGCTACACGCGCATAGTAGTATTAATATGCAATACTGACTGGTTGATGAAAATGTCTTCAGTGGTAAAATACATGTTGCTAGATCAGTACACGTGCTTCGACGCATTTTACGAAAGTGTGCCTGAAGTTTCACACTCATGCATGGTCTTTGGAAGAAAGCCTTGGCCAGCTCTAACATCCAGGTTCAGAGGCTGGTCACAGACATCCTTGACAAAGGACGCATCTCTATGACCATCTTCAAGGACACCTTTTCTTGACCGTCTTCTCGAGGACATTTATTCTCTGCTGCGAAAATGCAGCAGAACTGCAGACCAAATACAATTTTCTTGAATTCCTAAAGGGCCACTCACCTGTCTCACAAAATACAAGAAAGAGCGCAATATTCTTTCCTCATATTTCTCGTCCTTTTTGACGCAATACTGGAACGTAGACGGTAGTTCCCGTGACGTCTACAGCGTACATGCTCTTTGTCTCCTGCACTTCTTTGCCATGCCGCCGCTCATACGTTTTTTTTTTTTTGTCTCGCATGAACATCGTGCACAATAAGCCGACCAAACTTCATTTCTGTGTCCACAACTGCGCAAGCGGCGATAACGGCGTGCAGCCGAGAATCGCGAAATCCTGATAGGCTCTAGCGCTTGGCTAGTGCTGATATTGTTCACGTGCATTCAAGAAATAAGGGGCGAGGAGGATGCATCGCGTGTATGAAGGAGAGGAGAAAATTACCCTATAGTCTTAACACGTGGGGTGATGAATGGGCCCTTTAAGAGGTACCTCGATCTTGCGTCATACGCAGAGGTTGCTTGATCCTTTTTGCATGCTGGTGTTCTACATCGTGATACAAGCATCTTCACAGCATAGGCATATGCGATACTTGCAGCCGTTAAACAAATTAAAAAAAACTGTCTCGATTTACTCATTTTATGCATGGCCTGCACAGTCGAACAGCATGCAGTGTGCTATAGTGCCAGAGCACCGCGCGTTCCAAGGCAATGTGTGGCGGACCAGCTAAATGTATCCTTACATGAGAACACTGCCGATATACCCGTCTCTGCACTAGACTTATCGGCCGAGATAGGCACACGCAAGATAAAGTGCACGTTACGAAGCTGCAAGTTGGTTTTCCGCCGCCAGTATCAAAATCGCGTCACACACTTTTAGATGCGGAGCATCTTATACTCGCGCCTTGTAGTGCGCCGTCCACACCGCTTCTCGAACATTCGACACCTGACGCGCGCGCATGCGCCGTCGCGCCGTCGCTCACTCTTCCACCATCTGTGCATCCCTTCCTCCTCTACACACCGCGCGCGCTTCACTCCTCCACCATCTGTGCACCCTTCCTCCTCTACACACCGCGTTCGACATCTACAATTCTCCTGATTCTCCAGTGGACGCGCATGTGGCGTCGCGCTTCGAGAACATTCAACAGCTGACAGTGCATGCGCCGTCGTGCTGTATATATACTCAAGGTCGGCGCTCGCTCGCTCAGTTGCCGCTCGTCGGTTGGTTTGTACGGCGCGTCGACGTCCAAGGTCGCGGTGAAATGAATTCCAACGAATCCACAAACACAATGATCGACGTCCCTTCGACCAGCGCCGCCCTTTCGCAAACGTGTGTACGTGTTCACTCATTTAACACCCCCTCCTACAACCACGTTAACCAATTTAGCCATAGACCCAAGTAAGTCGCAATTTAACACCCCATTTCACAACCACGTTAACCAATTTAGCCATCGACCCAAGTAAGTCGCACTTTAACACCCCGTTAACCAATTATATGGTCCGCATCCTCCTCAGTGTTCCCCCGAGGGAAGCTGCGGGCAATTTTTGTCTGTTGGACCTACCTTTATGTCGTAAGTGTGATGAACCATTCACCGTTCTTCATATTTTAATGCAACGCAAAGAATCGGGTGCATTAGAAATTTTTCCATTACCTGACTGTCACGGACGGCCATTTTTGGCGACACCGCGTCACGGCAATTAACGGGCGCCGTACTCCCCCACTGACCGTGAGAACGGCGAGCGCATGAAAGGGAGCCGAGAAGTGCAGAATGGGGTGCTCTTCTTAGAACGTCGCCGCCGACGGTTGATCCTTTTGTAACTGCGGCGGCGTCTGCAAGGTCGTAGAAGGCCGCGTTATACCCCGAACAAGGATTAGACTACGAGACGCACCGGCTGAGAGCCAAACGGTTGACCGTTCCCACGGGGAAAAGCGTGGGAAACGCTCTGGTGGCCAAGCCGTATGACAACAACCCGACAGGTTGTCACTCTCGCTAGTTGAGGGCCCTCTCCCAATTAGAAAGGGGTGGGGTCAAAATATTTTTGGGGTGGAGTTTCTATCAATTAAACGCACATGATTGGACCCATGTAGAGGTCTCTTGTCCCCAAGGAAGAGAGCGAGGAGACACGAGGGGGATTTAAGCGCAGGATTTTGCCCTGCTAGGCAGACTAGTCGCTGACCAACATGGTGTAGAAACAGATCAACAAGCATCTCTTCTAGAAGTTTTTAGTGTGGCTCTGTATCGGCTGGCCACCTAAACTTAGCCGTTCGTCTAGTTGTGACGCGATATTAACGTCTGCAACGTAGACATCGGGACTTCGCCTCGAGTTAGCTCAACCTGCTCGAAGTCACCTGCAAGCACTGGCCTCCCGGAGCCACCAGCGTTGCAACACCGCCGACATCGCAGTCGTGCCAGAACTCTCGTCGACTTCTCGCATCCGATCGTCGGGGACGCAACGCTGCCGGTCATCACACGTATGCCTTCACCTGTTTATATCTTCGAACTTTCTACCCCGTAGTCTATTGTTGTTAGTTTGTGTAACTTGTAATAGTTCTCTCTCGTAAGCTGGTTTATTGCTTTGGTTTCATATATTTTTTAGTTGTATCAAATGTTGTTGTATTTTGTTAGTTGTATTGAAGTGTTGTATTAGATCCCGTGTGCTGCAATATCACTAGAGTAAAGTTGTTTTGTTTTCTCGCGTCTCTGATCTCTTCACTGTCTCTGCTTGCGTACGGAACGAACCAACCTGCTGTCATTCCCGTCGCCGACTTCGCGCTGGCGACGCTAGAGTGGCAGCTTGTAACACTGACCGACCTGTAACGAATGCCTCTGCACATATTGGTAATCATATATGCATAGGCAACCGCTTTTTTTTAAGACGAATCGTTCGCGTTTTTGAAAGGTGTAAGAAGGGTGTAACGACATATTTTCGAGTAACCCGTTGCGCAAAGGTTGCTACTGGTGGTGGATAGGTTGAAGCACCTGCATCGCCACCCTTGAACTCGAGGGCCGTTGACGAGGCATTCCTGGTGATGCCTTCCCTCCATATTTTGATATCGCGACCACTTCTCATTGATTCTCGCTGCGCATATTTTACGTCAGTCTCATAATTTTAATACCTATATGATTCCCCAGCCTTTGGTGCGAATAATTTTAAGCCACCATAAGCCACTTTACATAACCATTGTTCACACTCGTTATTATGCTCTGGCACTCACTACTTTTGAAAGGTTGGGCCCCGAGACGGTTGGGCCCCAAGACTAAAATGGTCGTTTTATTTAGGCAAAATAAATAAAATAATGGTAAAGACGACGAGAAAAGAGCGTATATGTTTCTCTGGAATATAGTGGACGCTCTGGGAGGAGCAGCTGACCAACACGGCATCGATGGTCGACCGTGCAGAGGTAATAGCTACAACCTACCCCGGATTACATGGGGGGCTCTACCTTCAAAGCACAGCTGTTCTCCACAACCTGATCGTAAAGCCCGTTTA